TATTTATTTATTTAGCATCAGACACTCAAACACAACGTGACGATAAACAAGGGTGCGGCAAAAAAGGCTCTTGGCTCAATTGACCTAGTGCGTAGAACATCCTATAAGAGCTCGCTCGCTCAAGCTATTTCCTTTAAGTGGTGTGTACGATCATGGGTTTGGGCATGGTTTGGTAGGAGAGTCCCAGTTTGAGAACATTTGTCTGTAAGTTAGTGTTACTGCGTGGTCGTTATCAAAACTTCCTGTTATCAGGATTTTGGCTGAGTTATGCTCTGCTGACAACAAACATCAATTCCAAAGAGCCAACGGATAAAAAAGATCATCCGATATTTCGAATGAGAGGAACGCAGTGTAACAGGAATAAACAAAGAGCGTCCGTGTCGTCACAAATTTGAAAAAGCCTCCTTCCGACGCGTTCTCACTCAAATATGACAACTTATACGAAAAAATTAGACGAAAATTTGTTTCAGTACAAGGGAGATAAGAATAAGGTTGAATTGAGTTGAATAGGATTTCCTGCCCCATAAAGACAAATGTATAAAACCAGGAGCCTGTGATTTGCTCCTTAACTTGACAGAATTGAAATAAAACTGACCTAGGGCGAGAAAAAAAAAAAGATAGATTACTAACAGCCCCTGTTTTTAGCTTTCTACATCGCACGATTCGAAAGAAATCAGCCAAAAAGACGATTTTAATTCAAAGGTGGCATTTTTGCTGAAAAAGGTGTGGGGAGTGGGGAGAGGGTTGTAATAAATGAGTGCAAATCTAATTCTCACTTACCATTTTGTCTGTTATAAAGCCCAATACTAGCGCTGAGATGATGTTAACGCCAGCAAATAAAAAGAACGCAAGACCAATCTGTGCAGCATTTTGACCCAACTGTAAGGAAACAGATCAAGACTCATAAATAAAGTTGCACAGGTAGTTTATCGGTCAAAAAGATTTCACTACATTTGCTGAGGAAGTCTTCCAAATAATTATATATCGTAAATTATTACCAATATTGTGGTTAGAAAAACCAAAACCAACAAAGCCAACAAAACCAACAAAACCAACAAAAAAACCAACAAAACCAACAAAACCAACAAAAAAACCAACAAAACCAACAAAAAACCAACAAAAAAACCAACAAAACCAACAAAACCAACAAAAAAACCAACAAAACCAACAAAAAACCAACAAAACCAACAAAAAAACCAACAAAACCAACAAAAAAAAACAAAAAAACCAACAAAAAAAACCAACAAAACCAACAAAAAAACCAACAAAACCAACAAAAAAACCAACAAAACCAACTTACGCTTCTTAAGTGAGGTGCCAAGATTGGTTGCATGAAACTATACAACACACAACCGATAACAGTGGTAAACCCTGAGTACAAAGGAAAGAAATGATGACTTTCCAATAAGTTTTCGTTTTGGAAAAGAATTGTAACTTGAGGTAAATAACAAACAGAGAGCGCACTAGTTATCGCAAGGATTTAAGTGTACAAAGTGGAAGCTTAAGAGCCATGTGGGAGCCGTAACTCCTATATCCCGTTTGGGCCAAAAATAAAAAATCATATGCACCTAAATTTCCCGTGATACTATGCTGATTGTTTGATTAGTCGACTTGATTTTTTTTTTCATAGAAAGAACAATAGAGACACAAAGGAAGTTGAAAGCAAAGTGCGCAATTTTTTGTCGGTTTAGCGGCACGAACACGAATTCCTCGTTCCTGGTCCTTCATCGGCTTCGCTATCCATGTCGTAACACTCTGACAGCTTGCTCGCGGGCTGCGTAATTCAGGGCTTAGCTAACATGTAGGTCAAACTTACCCATCATGAAAATAGCGGGAATCTTTAATGGTCTCATGAAATTGCAAATTGCTATGCTTTTCTTTGATTCGTCATCGTCTGTCCGACTCTCTAATCAATTTATGAAATAGCAATGGAAATGTTTCAGGTGAATAAATACATGAGAAAGAAAGAAATAGTTTTTTGTTCTGAGTCTAAGGTATAGTTTATATGAAGTACCTCACCGACCTGTTTCGCTCGGTAGCAGAAAAGCTAAAACTCCAATGCTACAAAGCAGAACTAGACCCATAATGATGAAAGGAAGTTTGAAGCCACCTACCTGAAACAAAATTTGTATGGAATAAAAAAAAGATTTTGTTATGGCGCATCATTTGTCTTATAAGCTACACATTTTGAAATCAAAGGGTATATATGTAGTAAGTATAATGGCTCCGGTGATACGAAATAGTTACAGATATCACCAACACGAGAAAAATTTTAGCACGACCGAAAACTGTCAAAACAACGTCAGTTGTACCATATGCAAAAAAATGATAAAGCATTGTTTGCAAACAAAAAAAATCTTAGAAGGACTTAGTTAATCGGACCCTAGATGCTTTATGGTGCTCAGACACCTTTCAAATAATCTCAGTGCATTTTTATTATTTTCTGTGTATTTTCATTTTTAAATTTTTTCGACTGTGCCGTATTTTAAATACGCACCCTTCTCGAGGTAAACGCCCATCTCGTGTAACGATCTCTCCACTTTTTTAAGCACGAGTGATCACAATCGCTGAGCCGCTTAGGCGTGTAATATCAGCTTTAAATGTCCACATTCAAAAGGTGATCCTGGTTCTTGTTATTTTGTGAACAGAAAAGGTGCTCAGTTTTCGCGCAGATGCGGTATTGCGAAACAAAAAAGCTATTTTCACTACAATGATGATTTAGGAAACTTAGATAATCGCTTTTCGATGATTAAGGGTGCACTGTCCAATCCTAAATTTGAAATCGTCGATTTGCTATGTTTGTACTTACTGTGTAGAGAAACCCTCCAAATACTGGAGCCAAGGAACTTCCACAAAGACAAGATAGCTGCATTCCTGCCTAAACACATCAAAATTACAAGGGGAAAGTCACTCTATATCATTCCAAGCAAAAGTAAAGGAAATAAACAATTAAAGCTCCCCAAACACGCTTAGGACATTTCTTTTATATTTTGGCGGAATACACACTGTTATCATACTTGCAAATGGTGTTTGTAGCCGATGGTTGTCGCATTTTCAAATTTATCCAGAGTATTGTGGACGAAAACGTTTCATCCGCTTAGACGGATATATGTTTACTGCGATGCAAGAGTATAAACACCGTCTTCATATTTATATAGCATAGTTTGAACGGGACCATGCATTATGAAAATCCAAATGCAGACATACAGAAATTGTTCCGGAATTATTTGGGAATTTCTGCAGCGTACAGGCGAGGACAGCGGTCTCAGCAGCTGCTGCCCCAATGGCCGATGTTATTCGTAACACTAGGCAAAAGACTACGAACGTTGTTGGATCAAATATCACTTCGCCAAATCTGAAAAATATAAATTTAAACACGTTGTCTCCTTCTAAAAAAATTCTTAAGTGTAAATTCTCAAAATTCTCTCGGTATTTAAGTTATCATTAGGTATCGGTCATTGATTTTTCGCACAGGAAGGGGGGGATGGAGTGGCTACAGGGGGGTGGGGTGGACGGACTTTGTAAGAATTTTTTCGTTTTTTTTTCGTGTCACGATAGAATGTACTTAATCCCCTTTTAGGCTCTAGTCTTATGACTTCCCTTCCCCTTTCCCCCTTATTGGCAGTTAATTAGAAACCAAGTGATCACTCCAAAATCCTCTTCGTTCCCTTTCCCCTACACGATATATATTGACTGGTCTCTTAGAGAGAAGATAAAACGAAATGGGGTCAATTTTGTGGGAAAGTTGTTTGTAAAGCAACAGTCTGAAATATTTCAAATCACAAGACTGAGGTAAGTTTGTTGGCGTAAGAATCAATTGAGCATATTTACCTCTGGAATAAGGAATTGAGGGAATAGAATATTTAACCTTCGGTCGGAGCCAAGAAAGATGGGGGAAGGGTTTGGTGGAGTGTTATTTGCTTCCCCTCCCCCTTCAGGCTTTTGCGCTCCTTTTTCCTGCAGATTTGTTTTCAGCTCTTAGAAACATGAGTTGTAATTGTTATAACTTTGAAATCCTTTGGATAGGTTCTATGAAAATTGGTTCAAATTTTCAAGACATGACATCCTCACCAGATTAATTGTATTTCATAACCTTATTTCCTTTTCTAACAATCCTATGTCCTATGTGAGTAAAAAATACATAAAAACTGCCATCTGGGATGGTGCTACACCACCAGTCACGCTATGATACGATATATTAGCAAAATCCCGTAAAATGAGCCAACACAAGGTATCAATGGATGTTTTAAAAATGCTTAATACAAATGGAGTTCGGCCTCGAACGCTGACTTCTCGTTCTGGAATGACGCGCGCTAAACATTGGTTGTCGCAAGGGTGTTCTGGATGATGCTCTGCACAGTACAGTGTGCGAAGTACAATATTAAGGAATCAACTTAATTAACTGACTAAAGAACTGAGTTTTATGCTTACCCCATTATCATCAAGGATGTTGCAGCGATAAAAATACCTGTTAGAAGTACATTGCGTGCACCATATTTTGGCACCTGCAAAAAAATATGCTTTTCATATTACCCGTAGGATTAGTTAGATTCTCCCGAAATCATTTGATGCTTGGGCTTTAAGTGTAAGAGTTACGTTAGGCGGAATGAGGTGTATCTTATACCTTTTTGAAGTGAAAAAGAATGTATTATGTACTTACAAGAACTCCCCACGGTGGAGAGGTTAGGAAAATCGCAAAGGCGTAGGATCCAAATATTAATCCAACATAAATTTCAGACACGCCTCTATCTTCTGCCTGAAGTACACGAGTTAAGATAAGATGTTAGTAATAAACAACGTCAAGTTCAGTCGCAAAATGTACTAAGGGTGTGGGGGAACATACTTGCGACAAGTTTGCAGCATGGGATGATCTCGTTTTCGACCAATGAAATTCACTCCCTAAGATTACGTGACCACGTAATCAGGCGAATAAGCGCGCGCATTCCAAGAACAAGGTTTTTACTTTTAATGAATGGACCAGGTAAAGAGGTACGATAGTCTTTTGTTTTTGAACGAGCACGGTACTCTATCTTTTATGGCATAATGTTGGCGTACAAATTATCCCCTTTGAAATTGAAGAAATCGAAAAAAAAATCATCCAAGGGAAAAAAAGGATAGAGCTAAAAGCGTGCACAAAGTCCTTTACTTGAGGATGCTAATTATTAAAATTACCTTGAAAGCAACGACTCGTGGAACGCTTTGAGTCAATGTCGTTCAAAATTGCGTTATTTTTTCCAAAAATTATATATCAGATTGTTCCAGACGCTCGAGAATTTCTACCCTTCACGTTTTTTTTTTCAAGTGTTACTGCAAAAACCCTTACTTCCAGCTACCACAAAATATACAGTGAACCGGTATAAAGAAGTCATTCTTAATTCTTACTAAAGCGAATTAATTTTGCAATATAACAAATCCTTTATTGACCAAGCTTGCGCAGTAAAGATGGCTGGATATTAGCCTCGTTCTTTTTTTGCAAATTTGTGAAGGCAACTTAGGCAACTCTATCCATTGAGCTAACCGCCTCCCGGTTAGCTCAATGGATAGAGCGCTGGACTGTTGTGCGGGAGGTCGAGGGTTCGAGCCCCGGCCGGACCAACACTCAGGGTCTTAAAATAATTGAGAAGAATTTGCTGCCTTTCTATAACCTCAAGAAATGGTTAGATATTCTAGTCTTCTCGGATAGGGACGAATAGATGGAGGTCCCGTCTCCTGCAGGGTTGGGGTAGG